TGAAAGCTCTTGAATTTAAAGCAAGGATTCTTAAATTTTGAGATACTGTATCACCCTAAAATAATAATAAATGTGTGTGTGAGACCCCTCCCCATGAATTAAACTGATACTTTTATTGGGATTAAGGTTGGACATAAAATAAATATGGAGTTCTTGGTGCTCTCTGAGTTTGGTTGTTTGCTTGCAGATGAGTCACACTGATGATGTTACCTAGTAGGGTAATGAAACGTCTGCAAGCAAACAACCAAGCTCAGAGGGCACCAAGAACTCCAAAGTTCAACCCTGAGCTACAGATATTCTTGTCTATGAAATAAATATATGTTTGTAGTAATGGAATTATAAATTATATATCAAAAAGCAAGGATAGAATCTTGCAATTTGATTACATAAAAATGTTTCATTTGAAATAAAAGAAAAACAAATGGAAAACCATCTTTTTTAATGGGAAGGAAGTATGAACTTGCTTGCTTTTGCATAATTCCCGAAATCAGGGCTGCATTTTCATGAGAGCTGCTTTCTTTTCTTTTCTTTTTGTCTATCATTTATTTTTGATCCATATTTGTTTTTCATAGCAGCAACTGATTCATACAGAAAGGGTGCTGCAAACTTTAATCAGTAGACTGGGTATAATTAGCTTTTTGCTTTCTACATCCCCTTCCCCAAAAATCCATTGTGAAAGACTAGACATTTAAAATAATGAAAAAACAAGTACTGAAATTCACTAACTTGCACGCTTTTACAGGGATTCCATAGGAACACACTACTGCTGGGCTGCTATGTACTACAATAGGCATACTATTTGTCTGGCAGAGAAGAATATTTCTGAGAGAAGTCAAACAAAATAACATTCTATAGCATAACTGATTTTAAAAAAGAAGTATTGTAGGCAGTTTACACAGACCTTGTGCCTGTTATAAGAAAAAGAGGCACCTGGATAATTGATTTATGCATTTTTTAGTATTCAAAAGTTTGAGCTTGAGTACCAAGCCTCAGACAATATATGTTATTTTAACACTGATACCCCTAAGATGCTTCCAACCCTCAGTTTGACAACTCCTGCCATAGCAAATAACAGACAACAATCAAGGTGGATTAAGAGATTATTCAATCTTTATGAAATACTTACTATATTTTGCAGAAATTATGACCAAATATTATTTCCAGGGGTACACTGTTTTAATTTAATTGCCCTAACAGTGTCTCAGCACAGCATTCCAAATATAGGTCCACAAAATCCAATGTGTATTTGGCACATCTCTGTGCATAAAATCACACCTATAGCTTTTGGCAATGAGCAATTAATTGCTTATAACTAGTCTTGGTCAACATAATTTGAAACATCTAAGCAAAGCTGCTTGAATGCCAGTCTTGTTTATTGGATCCTAGATCTATTTTACTAAATCAAAGAGGAATGTAAAAATTATATAGTGGATCCAATAGCCGAAAAGAGAAAACTGGCTCAGTGCTTGGCACTGACAGGTTGAATGAAAACGCATCATTAAAAAAGTTCATTATCGTTCATTAATGGGACATCCATGTGGATATCACTTTACATAAATGGCATAACACCACAGAACTGTACTTATAAAGTTCTTTTCTCTGTCCTATTTTCATGTAAGATTGAAGAATATAAATGTTATAAAATAGCTCTAGATATCAACTCTTTCCTAATCAGGCTTTATGCTATGAAGGTGTTTTTTTTTAACTGCATTAAAAAGTTGGTGCAAAATTGCAGCTGAAAGCCTCCATGTACTTCAGTTAGGCTTAAAAGACATTTTTATCTTGGAAAAAGTTAGAAATAAGCACAAATATCAAAGTTGGGTAAAACATGCTCTTAACTAAAACTGGACAAAGGAGATGTTTATTCATCTTTTGATGTGGAAGGAAAAATAGACAGTGCTTGTATAAGGCTTCACTGTTGCTAAATTAATGTGTCTTTTTACAAAGGGAACTAAAGAAAATTACAAAAGGAAAGTGGTTCAAAGAGAGCAAAAAAAGTATCCATACATACTGTATCTGATAGAAAAATACCGTTATCTATCAAAAGTAAGATACAAAACCATCTGCTCACATTATCTGCAGCTCACCCTATAAATCCACTGGACGAAATTGAAGTAGAATTATAAAAGATAACATGGTAAATTTTCAGATCCTTCTTCTACAAGAGCTTATGCGTGCTCTTATCAGGGGAGAGGTGGATGCACTGCTTGAGGACACAATCCACTAAATACTGCTTCTGCGCATCCTTCCTCATAATGATTGGAAATTGCACAGTAATAGTGTCTGGAAGCCTGCATTCATTATGATTACATTCAAGCTTTTGTAGCTGGGTGGATTTTACATCAAGGAGTTCAAAAAAAAAAAAAAACATAAAAGAAGAGCCTGGCACACGTTTTCTTTCAAAATGTAGCACAGGATGTTCTTTGGCTGATAAAAGCATAGAATCTCAACTTGCAGCATGAATACAAAGCATTCAGTCAGTGCTGTAGTGGTGTAGTACACAGAAGAGGATGCTTTGAAGTCCTTACACATTCTTGATACGGTTCCATTTTGTTTTTGTTTCAAAAAGTTGTATTTCCCAGCACAAAGTGTGAAGCTCAAAGAGAAAAATCTTCAAGCCCACTTAAATAGCTGGTAGGGTGCGTCGCTGTTGTGATGTTAACTCTGGATGCCAGACATCCACAATGAATATCAGCCGATAAGCATCAGCATCCTGCCACACTTCATGTTCAAAAGAATCATCAAAAATGAGAATCTTCCCTTCTTCCCAGAACCTGAAAGAGTAAAAAGATGATATTTTACCTGCTGCCTATGAGAACTCAAAACTTTTCTAATCGTACCTACATCCTGGATGCAAAACCAACATAGGTGATCAAAGTCAGCAGGCTCACTCTCTAGCAGTGCTGTCCAAACTTGGCCACTTTAAGATGAGTGGACTTCAACTCCCAGAATTCCC